CAAAGTAAAGACTACCCCTTAATTGTATTTTTTATAGTAGTAAAATCATAAAAAACATAAAATTTACCACTTTAACCACTTTAAGGGTACAATTCTGCAGCATTAAGTACAATCACACTGTTATGGGATCACCATCCCCCTCCATCTCCAGAACTTTTTCTTCCCCCTCAATGGAAACTCTGTACTCATTAAGCAATAATTCCCCATGCTCCCTCTCCCCAGGCCTTGGTAACCATCTTTCCATCTGTCTCTATGGATTTGATTATTCTTGGTGCCACATGAGTGAAATCATACCATGTTTCTCTTTTGGTGTCTGTTTATTTCACTATAACATAATGTCTTCAAGGTTCATCTGTGTTGTAGCAAGGGTCAGAATTTCCTTCTGTTCTAGGGCTGAATAATTTTCCATTGTATGTCTATGCCACATTTTGTTCATCCACTTATTTGTCAATGGAACTTGGGCTGCTTCCACCTTTAGGCTAATGTGAATAATGCTGTTATGAGCATGGGTGTACAGACATTCCCCGCCTATTTTTTTTTGAGGTTGTCATTTCCAACACTTTATTTTTTAATGTTACTGGGATTCAAAATAACCTACCATTTCATGATATGGTGCTGACAGTAGATGATATTTCTATTTCTTGGCTAATTGCTTGTTTGTTCATTTTGAGTGAATGCCTTTACTTGGCAAACTAAAATTTTGGCAACTCTATGAAGGGCCATAATTGGAATTTTAGTGTCCCAGGAAATTCAAGCCCGAGAGATGTAGAGTTTGGTAACAAACATGGAAGTTTTGTTTGTCCTTCCTGTCCAAGCGCTCAGAACCTTTAAGGTAGAAACCTCCCAAGACCCTGAGAGTCTCCACAATCTCTTTCCTATTGCGCCAACCTTGAATTACCAGAATTCAATTATTCTACTTCTACTCCTATACTGTTTCCTGTGATAGAGGTTTATGTCACTCAGTGGCTTGAGTAGATTTAATCCATTTTTCATCATTGTAGACCCTCCCAAGTTACTTCTTATTCCAGGATAACCGAAGAATGTCTTCTTCTGACTTAGAGCCACCATCCAAGAGAATGGTGACACTTAAGGGCCACCTCCAGCTTTCTTCTGAGTCTTCTAGAAATACCAACATGTCCCAGGTGAACTGCCTTTTCTAATTAAGTCAATGTAAAGCATCCTAGGATCACATTTAAATAATATATTGGCACAGTTGATTCAAAGGTGGATTGTCCCAGTTGTGTGCCAAATCTGCTTCAAATTTAAAACGTAACACTGACTATAACAACTACTCTTTGAAGTATTAGAATTAGCAATACTACTTATAGATGCTAATTTGTAGCAGACATAGAATAGGAACTCTCCTTATATAATGTTTTCTTTAATTAAAAAAACTGTGTAATGCAGAGGAAATCATTGAGACTCTCTGAGCCTCAGTTTCTCATCTATGAGGTAACAAGACTCAAGCAAATTATTTTCCAAATTTCTTAGTGGTATAACTTTTATAATAAGGAAGACCAATGCCAAAAGCAGAATGGCATTCTTTGAGGTCCACTTAGTCTTTAATTTAGAAGTCATGTTAAAAATCCCTTTGATTTCATTCCAATAATTATTCATGATGAAGAGGTGAAAGAGCTCTGGGTTGGTATCCAGGAGACTTCAACTCTAGTCCTGGTTCATTCTTTATGTTCAAGTCACTTCACATTTCCTGAACTTTAATTTTCTTATCTGTAAAATAGCCCCATCTGCTTCACAAGAAAGTCATAAAATGAGATAATACATAATACAAAACTTGTTCTTCAATTTATGAAGCAGTATAAGAAGTAATGAGCTAATAAACTCCACAACCCACCTCAAACACAGCCCAGGTCATTTGAACACCTGATGTTCTGCTGTTCATGGGTGTCTCTCTTCTCACCCATGCGGTTATTTTCCTGGACAAAATTATTATTCTGTATGTAAACAGTTCTGGAGTTAGATTTGTTGGCCAGGTGTGACATGTAGCACCTATTTCTGCCAACTTGGAACATATTTGACTATAATAGAGAAGCTCAGATCAAGAGAAAAGACTGTTTTTAATCAATCTAAGAAATCAAACTGTTCCACAAGCAAAGAGAAATAAGATCATTGTGGCTGACTACGAGACGGGTACTTGTCATTAAGAACCTACAAATGCTTCTAATGAGCCTCCAGAATTCAGAATATGAAACATAAAGGCATCATTTTTATATATTGAAAGACCTTGATAATTACTTGACCCCAATGAATAACTTTTTTCCAGGCATTTAGACATGCACCCTGAAAGAATTACAATAACATTTTGTGTTTTTTTGTCTAATAGAATTTCAGAATCATTCATTCCATGTTATAGCCTCAGTCAATACTCTGAAAATCCCATAGAGAATATATATAATTTTAAATTAATCTCATAGGTCCCTATTTCCCTGGGGCTATAGGAGACTGAAAAATGTCTCCCAAAGGTAATGCATCTTCTAACCCCTGGAACCTGTGAATAATGCTTTGTATGGCAAGAGGACTTTCCAGGGGTGACTAAGTTAAGGATCTTGAGATGGAGAGAGTATTCTGAATTATCCAGGTGGAACCTAAATGCAATCAGATATATGCTTATAAAAGGAAAGCAGAGGGAGATTTCACACAAAATAGGAGGAGGCAATGTGATCACAGAGACGGAAATGGAAGTGATGTGGCCACAAGCCCAGGAATGCCACCAGCAGCTGAGAGAAGTGAGGAAAACTTTCGCCCTAGAGCCTCCAGAAGGAACTAAACTCTGCCAACACCTTGATTTTGGCCCATTGACACTATTTTTGGATGTCTCACTTCCAGACCATTTCTCTTGTGGTAGTTGGTTACAATAGCCACAGGTAACTAATCTAGGGCCTAAGACAAAGATTTGTTATCAGATCCTTGCAAGAAAGATTTCCCCACACATGTCGCAGCCCAAGAAATTAGCAGTGAGACTGGAAGCAGTGTAGGATCTCATCCCACATACAAATGGTGATGGTATGCAAGTGTGTGATGTGAGAAAAAGTCTTCCATAATTTGAGAAAAAGTGTGCTTCTCTGCAGCTTTCTCCCATTTTACCAGCTCTGCCCTGTGGCAAAATCTACTACAAATTCCACAACTAACCTCAGCCCCTCTATTTGTAAGCTAAGCACCCCCATATTTGTATCTGTCTCTGTTCTCTTTTCTTGTATATATTTATCTCCCTCTTTATTGTCTTTATTTGAAACTAAAACTTAAATTTCTTGAAGGCATGGACTTTGTGGTTTTGTTCTTCTTATCACCAGTATGATGAATGTTGCCAGCAATGTACCGGGATTTTTAAAATATTTGTTGTGAATAAATCAGTGAATGTATGCCTCGAAGCCCCTTCATCACGTTCCTTCAATAACAAAATCCTGGAATATGCAGGAAGCCAATGGCTCTTGAAAAATATCCCCTGAATAAATTACATTCAAATGGAAGTTGTCTAATTACTATAGGGCCAATGATGACCAGAATTCTTCTCATTCTAAATACTAAAATGTGGTTAATGCAGACAAGCAAGGTAACATTAAGTTTTTAGGCAGCGACACTACTGACTTACATTAACTCTATTGTCATTAAAAATCCTTAATTCTCTGTAATTAACCAGTGTCTTTTCAAATCTGTTCATTTTTTTGTAAAAGTATAGAATCTCATATTACCCATGTACATTTCAACCTCATTAAATATGTTCACAACTCCAGCTTCTAGAGGTGTTTGTGGATCATGATTCTGTTCCATTATATGAACGTCTTACAATTTCACATCAGCTGCAAATCTGATGAAAACTTCTTTGATTTTCTCATTCCAGTCATCGACAAGAACCAGAACTGCTAAATCATATATAGATTGATTCCAAGCTACTTGTGCACATATCTCTAAGACAGAGCTCTATATTTAAGAGGACAGTGATCTGGAAGTTATACCCTGATGCCTGGAATGATGTCCCAGGGCAAGGAATCCCCAATAAAATTGTGTTTCTGGTCTCAAAGACAGATGAGCCTCTGCACCAGGGGAAATGGTGGGTATGGGCAAACCAAAGGGTAATAAAAAACTGGGACTCATACAGAGGGTAGAGAAGAGCTAGAGAATTCAGGGAGAAAAGAAATCCCATTGCCATTAAAATCATTATTATTTTAGTGCAAAATACAAAAATTAATTTAATTCTCCATGAAGAGCCACACTCTAATAGACTTTTTGCTGGGTAGCCATAGCCTACCTGATGGCCTCCAAAGGGAGGCAACGTGGACTTCAGAATAACTATTATTAATCTTTACTGGATGTATTTATGTTGTTGATTAGAAGAGGCTGACTTTGACATTGCTTAACCTAACCCTCATCCTAAACCCAGTCTCTCTCTCTTTCTCTGCATCACACACACACACACACACACTCACTCACACACACCCTCACCATCCACCTACAAGTTGTGCTTCATTGTAAGCTACACTCCTCACAGCTCTGTGTTGGTTTTCTCGTTATCTCAATATAAAGGCTTAGGGACTGAAAAGAACCATTTTTTTTTTTAGTAAGTTTAAGACACCTCTTTTCTCTTCTCCAGGAATTTTGGATCAATTAACATAATCCCCTTTCAAACACAACCCTTAACTCACTCTCTCATTATCAAGTGATTTCAAAACGAATATTTAATTTGATAATAATAATGAGTATCTTCAATATATTCTGTTTATGTTTATTCTTTCTCCTCCTGCTGACAACTCCTATTCCTCTAACACATGTAAAATTTCCAAAGATTACAATGGGCTAATAGAAAATCTTATTGTTTGCTAATCTCCAAAAATGCCTCAGTCATTCTCAAGTATAAAATACATGTTTTGTAAATAATGATGCATTTTATCTCAGGAAGAGAGAAATAAAGTACACATAACCCATGACGAGTCTTCATCCGGTTCATTTTTTCTTGCTTCCTCTAAGAATCCCGTTTGTCAGGATGACTACGTGCGCCCAACCACCTTCTTCAGTGCATTCTTCACCTCCTTATTCCTTAGGCTGTAGATCAGGGGGTTCAGCATGGGGATCACTGTGGTATAGAACACTGAGGACACCTTCTCCTGGCCCATAGTATTGCTAGAAGGGGGCTTGAAATACATGAATGTTATAGACCCAAAAAAGATTCCCACAGCCACGAGATGGGAGCTACAAGTGCCAAAGGCCTTGGACCGTCCCTCAGTGGAGCGAATACAGAGGATACTAGAGAGGATGAAGGCATACGAGATGACTACAGCCAGCATAGGTGCTAAGGTATTGACTCCTCCAATAATAAACAACAGGATCTCATTGATGTGGGTGCTGGAGCAAGAGAGAGTCAACAAGGGGGGAATATCACAAAAGTAATGACGGATGATATGAGACCTGCAGAAGGACAACACTGACATGAGGGTAGTATGAACTGTGGCCCCAAACAAACCCAGTGAATATACCACAACCATCATTATGGAACAGACCCTATGGGACATGACAATATTGTAAAGCAGTGGGCTACAAATAGCGACGTAACGGTCATATGCCATGGCAGTCAGAAGGTAGCCTTCTGCAATGACAAAAATAAGGAAGAAATAAAGCTGAGTCATGCACTCCAGAAAGGAGATAACATTCTTCTCTGACAAAAAGTTCACCAGCATCTTTGGGGTAATGACAGAAGAGTAGCAGAGATCAATAAATGACAAATGACTGAGAAAATAATACATTGGAGAGTGAAGTTGAGAACTGAGAGCAATTAAGAAGATGGTGCCCAGGTTCCCCACCACTGCGACCACATATATTCCAAGGAACAGTAGGAAAAGTGGCAACTGAAGTTCCTGGCGTCTGGTCAACCCTTCAAGAATAAAGTCAGTTACTGAGGAATGATTTGAAGCACTCATATCTTACAAGATACTCTCTGTAAAAAGAAACAAGAGAAAATAGGTGTATTAAAGTTATTTTCTGATTCCCAAAGCAGAATGGCACGCTACTTTTTGATGCGCTTCCTCACCTGTCCCATGACTCAATCTTTTCCGCGGACCTCTTGGAAACCCAAGGGCAAAGACCACCAGTGCAATTCGGAGCTTTGGGTCCACCCAACATGGTTTATGTGGTATAGGCTCACACATAAACTGACAAATGCTCCTCTGTAAGTCAGAGACGTTTTATTTTGTTCCTAAGCAAAATATTAAGCCTATAACTATCTCACTTTGAAAGAAAGCACAAGTTTTCAAGACCCCATTAGTTTTTCATTAATGTCATTAAACGAAGGAAGTGGCCTCTTTCAGGAAGTCCTTAAAAAAAAAAACCCTGTGATTTTGAGTAACTTCTGCCCATCAACTCTGAGATTTTTTTTTGAAATGAGTTCATTATTTTTGTGTAGCTATGCCAAATTGTTCAGAGTAATTTACCAGGAAGAAATTGGACGTAATTTGGTATCTTCTCATATGGCGTTGACGTGGAATAACAAATGGCACAAGCAGGAAAGAGGAGGGAAGAAGACATAGAAAGCATAGAGTGAATTATGATGCGTAAAAGAGTTTTTGAAAAGTAGTAGTGAAAATTTGAAACCATAAGAACAGAGAATCAAACTGCGTGCATAGATACAAGAATTTTCTCTCTCAAAAAGATAAAACTGAGATGCTGCTTAAAATGTACAGCATGCAAAATACTCTGGTAAGGGTAAAAAAATGTACACCAGTGTAAGTTTCCACAACTTTCCAATAAATGACATTTCTGGAACAAAAGTAATTTTTAAAATATTGATGGAAGAAGATTTCTCACCCTCTTTCTCTGGGCATATGATAGTAGGACCTCCAGACTTGTCTGCAACAGAGCCTGTCTTCCGATCTGGCTCTGATAATATAGAAGTGGTCCATTTCAATTTCTCAACCAATCTATGAGTCAACATAATATTCTCTAAAAGCGGCAGCTTAGAAACATACTGACTTCTATTAGGAGACTGAATACAAAAAGCAATCATAGGAATGGCTTTAATCAGTTCAGATCCTCATTCTCCCACCTCTGTCCATTGGACGGAAAACAATTAGAATGCTAGGAAATTCTTGTTTTCAAGGTAGATGTGGTTAACAGAAATGTGATGTTAAAGGCTGTCCTTAGAGTATGTTTTAAACCATTCCTGCTCAGGAAACAGCAGAATCACTTTGCCTTTCAGGGGTAGTACCTGGACCATAACATGATATGGTGCTTCCCTCCCTGACTCTTCCCTGCTCTCCATGATTAGAGGCCACGCTCTCATCATCTTTTCTCTCTCAAGGCTCTTAAACAGAACTGGGGAGGCTTCTTCCTTCACTGACTTAGTTTCCCTTAAAGTCCAAGCAGAGGATTCAGAGGAAATGATTTCTTGATTTCAGCTGATATATTATATGCTATCTAAGGAATCAAGTTTGATAATGTTGCAATGAGTAATGTTGAATGACCAAAATGTTTCTTGGAATCATGATAAATCAAGAGACAACATATGCAGTGGTTAGACCTCTACCTGACTTTAAAATCCATTTTCCAAGATGAGGAAAATTATCAAAGGAGGAAAAATTTCATATGTAGAGTGATATACAGTTTGCTTTTATTTTGCATGAACAATATACAACATGTGGTCATTTGTCATGACCACAAAGAAAAATTTATGAAACTTTGCTGCAATCTATTTTCTCTCTATGCCTTCTACAACGTATTAAGGCTGCTTAATATATGTGCTTATTCAAACGCTTAACTACAGAGGGTGTTATTATCTCTAAGAACACACAATGTTTCTGAATTTGGGAAGTTAGATAATATTCTATGAGAAAGCATGTCAGAGATGCCAGGATTCATCTCTAGGCAATCATATCAGCCATGACCATGAGACTGGGCCATCTCCAGATAGATTTTCTCAATTTGTCCAATGATCCACTGGAATAAGACTGATGTGCAACAGTTTTGTTATTCATACAAAAGTCAAATTTCCATAAAATTCAGCAGGAAGAAAGGTGGGGCATCTGGGGTTGAGATCCATTTAGTGGGTATCACAGCTCTTCTAATAGACTCACACATAAATGGACTAAAATTCCTTTCATAATAACAAATCATTTTGAAATCATTACAGTTAAGAAGGCTGTCCAGAGATCAGGACCAGAACAGATCTATTTCCCTATGACTGTAGAGATATTCGCTATTCTCACTGATTTTGAGACTAAAATTGCTGAACTGTCAGAGTAAACAAAACCCATTTTAGGTTATTCTTTGATGGAGCCCAATATTTGAGGAGAGCAACAATACGCAGACATATTTCATTTACTCTGCAAATACTTATCTACTGACATAAAATTTTCAATATTACCAAGAAACATAATTAAAACACCCTTAAGACATCAGTATAAATGTCGTATACCGATTGATTAAATTTTATTCACTTATCAGTCCACATTGGTCCTCTCTTAGTGCCATGATCTTCTTTTTCTTAGGAAGTAATTTTTAACACACCTGAAGGAGATCTGAATCTGAGGAGATCAAATTTAAAAAGACATAAGAAAGCCATTAAAGAAGTGAAGGATGGCCAGAAGAGCAGTTTAACAGCAAGAAGCCTCGAGAAAACCATATGAACAAAAGTAAAGAAAAAATCCTCAAACTTCATAGTTATCTAGGACTCCAGAAAATCTGAGCAAAAACATAGATACATACACACAGTAGCTCATATGTATATAAAGGGTTTAATGATTGCCTTAAATCACCAAAGGAACATTTATTTATTTTCAATATCTTTAACACAGAAAGCAGGGAAGTGTGAAATGCAGTATTTAAATTTCCTACCAAATTTATAATTCAGTAAATGGAGCACTTTAGAGTTAAGCAAGAATAGTAAGGTAATTATGCATGTGAAATTTCATTGAAAACGAACCACTTTTACATAAAATGAAAGTGACAATCACGATTTACATAGACTGTATACTTCTCTATGGGGAGGGAAAAAAGACACCACTTTGTTTCCCTCCCAATTTTTCTCACCCATGGCTAGTGACTACAGTGCTACTGTTTCTAGGTTTTATAATGTAACCTTAGTGTGAACAGAAAAGTGCCAGCTCCCATCCCTGAGAAGCATAAATGGGTATTTAAGGAAAATAGCTGGTTGTATGTACCAGTAGCTATTCAGTGATATAAGAATATGGCTCACCACATCTTTCAAGTTACCCATAACACATCCAGAAGTAAAATTTAAATTATGTGTGTGTGTATCTGTGTGTCTAATTACAAAAAAATAAAATAAAATTTCAGAGTTTTAATTCTTTTATTTAACAGGCACACAAATCTAAGACAATCCTTGCAATCTTTTACTTCTTAAACATAGGGCTATCTAGGGAAGATATTTATCTGTTATTGTGTCACACTAGAAAGATAATATAATTCCACTTTTAGGAATTTACCTGAAGAAAACAAAGTCTCTGATCTGAAAAGATATATGCACCCCTATGTTTATTGCCCCATTCTTTACAATTGCCAAGATAGGAGAGCAAGCCAAGTGTCCATCAAAAGATGAATAGATAAAGAAGATATGGTACATATACACAGTTTGTGACAGCATAGAGGGAGCTAGATGGTATTAAGCTAAGTGAAATACGCCAGGTGGAGAAAGACAACTACGAGATGATTTCACTTACATGTTGAATCTAAAAACAAAACAAAACAGCAGTAGACTCATAGACACTGAGAAGTGACTGGTGTTTATCACTGGGGAGGGGTCAGGGTGGGTTGGTAGGAAGGGTAAGGGGGTTAAAGAGGCACCAAATCTCAATCATAATATAAGTTGGTCCCTGGGATGGAGGTGCAGCATGGTAATATAGTCAATGGTTCTGTAACATCTTTCTATGTTCACAGATAGTAACTGCACTAGTAGGGGTGAGGATTTAATAATATGGGTAAATGTTGAACTACTGCGTCATATACTTTGAAAAAGAGGCACCAAATCTCAATCATAATATAAGTTGGTCCCTGGGATGGAGGTGCAGCATGGTAATATAGTCAATGGTTCTGTAACATCTTTCTATGTTCACAGATAGTAACTGCACTAGTAGGGGTGAGGATTTAATAATATGGGTAAATGTTGAACTACTGCGTCATATACTTTGAAATAATATACTATTGCATATCAACTACACTTCAATAAAAAATTTAATTTATAATAACATTTATTTATATTAATGTATTGTAGGATTTAAAATACAGAGTTATAGTTATTGAAAAAAATCCCATTTTTAGTCTTTTTCACAATGCAACTTCATTGAAGACACAGGAGTAAAATTAGCTAGATATCAGAATCTCAAAGGTTATTGGGAATGCAGCTGTTCATTTGTGCTCTGATCAAGTGGGTATTTTTGTCAAGAAAATGGAATTCATAAAGTTCGATCTTCAGGGTGGAGAATGAAGTTCAATTTTTCATGGGATTCAAACACTGTGGAAAGGAGATACACTTGTGTATGTCACTATATCCAAGGCAAATGTTACAAAGCATCCCTATGACTTCCATCAGAATAAAATCTTCGTTAATTTCAAATTTTACACCCTTTGATTGTATAATGATAGAAAAGCATTGTATTTGGAGTCAGAAGAATGGACTAAGAGGGCTTGGTGTGGCCCCTGTGGCCAGGGCAAGTCATTTACCCTCTCTGAACCCTTGTTTCCTCATCTATAAAAAAAGAGCAGTTATGACGATGAAAAAATCTATTCTGAACTTTGAAAACTTTAAGCCACTATGTAATTTATCAGTTATTATTTTTTATTTCTTACATTCATAAAATATTTTGAGTTTCTTTGTTTGTATCACTCAAAGATCCCCCAAAGAATAGGCACCCTTATCCAGGGGGAGTGGATGGGAGAGCAGATGAGTGTACTCAGTGAGAAGAGCAAT